TCTCCACACTTTCTGGCTTTTCTGATTTTCTTCCTGCTGTTGATTTCTAGTTTCAGACCATTGTATTCAGAAAAGATGCTTGGTATTATTTGGATCTTCTTAAATTTATTGAGACTTGTTTTGTGGCCTAATATGTGATCAATCCTGGAAAATGTTCCATGTCCATTTGAAAAGAATGTGTATTCTGAGGGATTTGGATGGAATGTTTTCTCTAAATCTACTAAATGCATTGGGTCTAATGTGTCATTTAAGGCCAATGTTTATAGATCTTCTGTTTGGATGATCTGTCCAATCAGTGCAAGTGGAGTGTTAAAGTCCCCTACTATTATTATGGTCCTGTCTATTTCTCCCTTTATGTCTGTTAATAATTGCTTTATATATTTAGGTGCTCCTATGTTGGGTGCATAGATATTTACAAGTGTTATATACTTGTGTTGGATTTATCCCTTTATCATTATGTAGTGCCCGTCTTTGTCTCTTGATACAGTTTTTGTTTTCAAGTCTATTTTGTCTGATATAAGTATTGTTACCCCCACTTTCTTTTCTTTGCCCTTTTCATAGAGTATCTTTTTCCATCCTTTCACTTTCAGTTTGTGAGTGTCTTTAGGTCTGAAGTGTGTCTCTTGTATGCAGCATATATATAGGTCTTGTTTTTTATCCAATTGGCCACCCTATGTCTTTTTATTGTAGCATTTAGTCCATTGACATTTAAAGTAGCTATTGATAAATATTTATTTATTGCCATTTTGTTACTTTTTTTCCTGGGTGTTTTAGTAGTTCTTCTCTGTTCCTTGCTTCTTCTCTTGCTCTCTTCCCTTGTGGTTTGATGGCTTTCATTAGTAATACATTTGATTTCTTCCCTCTTACTTGTTTGTTTACTTATTATAGGTTTCTGCTTTGTGATTACCATGAGGTTCCTATATAATATTCTACGTATATAGCAATCTCTATTGAGTTGATAGTCTCTTTAGCATGACCTCTTTCCAAAAGCTCTACTCCTTTACTCCCCTCCTTCCACATTTTATGTTTTTGAAATAATATCTAATCTCTTGTTTTCTGTGTGTCTATCCATTGCTATCTTTTCATTGAAATAAGTAATTTTAGTACTTTTGTCTTTTAACTTTCATATTATCTTCATGGGTGGTTGATCTGCTACCTTTACTGTATTATTGCCCTTACCAGTGATTTTAGGGCCTGGTTGTGTTTTTTTTGGTTTGATAATTTTCTTATCCTTATTTTTGGTCTTCTCTTTCCCACTTAAATAATTCCCTTCAGCATTTCTTGTAGACCTAGTTTCTTGGTGATAAACTCCTTTAATTTTGGCTTGTCCAGGAAGCTCTTTATCTCTTCTTCCATTCTGAATGATAACCTTGCTGGATCGAGTATTCTTGGCTGTAAGTTTTTTCCTTTCAGCACTTTAAATATGCCACTCTCTTCTAGCCTGTAGGGTTTCAGCTGAGAAATCTGCTGATAGCCTTATGAGCTTTCCTTTGTATGTCACTTGTTGCTTTTCTCTTGCTGCTTTTAGGACTCTCCCTTTATCTTTAATTTTGAACATTTTAATTATAACGTGTCTTGGTGTGGGCCTCTTGGTGTTCATCTTGTTTGGTGCTCTATGTACTTCCTGTACTTGGATGTCAGTTTCCTTCCTTAGGTTAGGAAAGTTTTTAACTGTTGTTTCTTCAAATAGATTCTCTGCCCATTTGTCTCTCTCTTCTCCTTCTGGGACACCTATGGTATGAATGTTAGTGTGCTTGATATTGTCCCAGAGTTCCTTTAGCCTGTTGTCATTCTGTCTAATTCTCTTTTGTTTTATCTGTTCAGTTTGGGTGATTTCCTCTAGGCTTTCTTCCAGCTCACTTGTCCATTCTTCTGTACCGTCTACTCTGCTATTGAGTCCCTCTAGTGAATTTTTCATTTGCATATTGTATTCTTCATTTGTGATTGGTTCTTTTTTATATTTTCCAGTTCTTTGTTGACGTTCTCACTGTGTTCATCCAGTCTTCTCCCAATATCACTGAGCATCCTTATGAGTTTCTGTTTGAACTCTTTGTCAGGTATATTGCTTATTTCTTTTTCACTTAGTTCTTTTTCTGGAGTTTTGTCCTGTTCCCTTGCTTGGAATCTGTTCCTTTGCCTTCTCATTATACCTCTTTCTCTGTGCTTATATTTATGTATTAGGTGAGTCAGCTATGTCTCCTGATCTTGGAAAAGTGGCCTTATGTAACAGATGCCTTTTGAGGCCAACCAGTGTGCTTGCCTCTTGTTACCAGAAAAATGATCCAGGAGTGACCTCTTTGTGGGTTGCTTGTGTCCTTCTGCTGTGGCAGGGTTGCTCTTACTGCAGGTACCCAGGGAGCCTAGTCTTTCCTTCCCAGTCGCCCCACTGCAGAGGCCCACACCTCTCCACCAACGCATCCCAAGATTACTTTGTCCTCACACAGGCCCTGCCCCACAGAGGTGGACACACTCACCTGCCTGTAGAGGATCAAGGCACCCAGTCTATGTGGGCTGACAAGTAGCCTAAGGGCTTGCTGTTGGGCGGGACTAGTCCCTAGGGCCAGCTGCCTGCTCTGGCTGAAGTGGATTAAATCTGCACTCTAGTGGGTGTGGCAGACCCCTGGGCTAACAGGCCATGGGAAGAACTTCAATGACGTCTGCCAGGGTCTGTGTCAGCATGCCTGTACTAGGTCACAACAATGCCCACCACCAATGTCTCAGTCTCTAGAGAGGCCTCATCTCTCTCAAGATGCACCCAGAGCCTACCAGGTGAGTCTCTTTTCACCAAAGGACTGTGCATCTTTCCTTTTGCTGATTTTAGGTTGTTCTCTGAGATAGGTGTATTCTTGCAGGGGCCCTTTAAGAGCTGGGTTTTTTTGGCTTTTGTCTGATAGCTTTTCTGGGTGTATTCCCCCATTGCAGTTACTAGCCCATGAAGCCAGATAGTAGGACACTCATCTCAGTTGTGCTGAGTCTGCAGGATGCTTATAGTGGTAAGATGCCCCCAGTAAGGTCCCCACTTCTGCAGAGAAGGCTGCATACCTTAGGGTGGCTCCTGCCTGGCTGGCTGTGAAGCTCTGCAGCTCTTCAAGGTGGCTTGCTTTCTCTCCAGAAGGAATTTATGCATCTTCTGCCTCAGTCAGTACTGTCCGTTGTTGTGGGGGTTCTTTATATCCAGTTTTCAGTTTTCTCTCCAGGGTAATTTTTCCAATAATAGTTGTAACCTGGTTGTGTTTGTGGGAGGAGGTGAGTTCAGTGTCTGCCTAGGCCACCATCTTCATGAGATCTCTATGCAGGGGAATATTTATTGTATATATTTGTGGTGACATTGCAGGATCCTTCCTGAAACATATCTGGTCTCTCCTTCAATTGGCAATAGGTCAGTGATTGAGCTGTCTCAGGTCTGAAGTGGACAAGAGATACCCACCGCAGAAGTTGGCATCAGTTTACGGATGACCAGCTTTTGCTTGTATAAGATAATAAATGCCCTAATTGCCTGTTCACCTATCTCATCCCTAGGAGGACCCAAGTCTATTAGACATGGCCGCAAATACACTTAGATCAGGGCTCAGTGTTTGCCATTCCAGTCTTATTGCCCATTATGGTAATTATGCCCACTTTGTTTCTGACAGTCAAGGACCAATTTTTTATACTGTTCTGGAATCTTATCACTTTCACTGATACTAGGGAGCCCAGTTTTAAAGCACCATGTCCTGCCATCAACCCTGGCCTATAAGGACAGCCACCATTGAGGCTCCAGTGATGTCTGCTTTGCTCTGACTAGTGCATTTCTTACTGCTTGAGTAAAGACGGTGTCCTCTAGGATCTCCAGAGAAACAGGGTCAGTAGTGGTTTGTCTGATCTTTTCTAACAAATCCATTCTAACATGCCTTCCCTGTATATTCTCACCCCCTAATTCACTTCTCTGCCAAAGTGGTGCTAACAGCTCCATCTCAATTATTGTAGTCTATCAACATTTCCAAGCCTCAAAGATGCAATAATTCCAGCAGCATCGTAGGATAAGCACTGGGCATCTTTGCAAAAGATTGTTAAATCCTGAGCACAACCTTATTAAAAGGCTTTCCCCTGTATAATCATATATTCTATTTCTCCTAACCCAGTAGCCTCAGAATCTATTCCTATATATATTCTCCTGGCTCCTAATGGCACATATTAGCTTCCAAAGCTTTCTTGATCAATGATCCAGTTCCTCTCATACTAAGGTCAGCATTATCCCCCCTTGGGCCATTTTGAGGACTGAGCCTGGTTATTGGTCTAGATGCAATGGGGGGAAGTTAAGAACAGATCTTCAGGAAGATAAGCATAATCTTTCGTGAAGCATGGTCTCCAGACAATAAGAGTCTGCTCTCTTCTAACAAGGGGTAACAAGTGAGTTCTGCTGGCCCAGAGTGTCCATGAGAATCTCAGGATTCAAGTTTTCAAATGCATCCACTCAAATGTCCTCATTCAGAATCTCAGGATAATACCTCTTCCCTAATGAACCTGTGATTTTTACACAAGAAACATACCAGAGCTCTAAATTCAGTATCTTTATAATTCTGCACATTTATGACAAATTTTGTGTCTTATTTGTAGCACAGTCTGTGGGATGAGATTCTTTTGAAACATTGTCAAGGAGGTCTTATGACTTTCACACCATGCCCAAGTTATTTGACCTGAGCCTGTCATTTTCTCTCTTCACGGCTTCTTCAGTAGTTAACTAACTTCATAATTCTCATATCTCTAATTCAAATACTAGAGCTATTGTATAAGCCAGGGCACCACTTCCATCTGTACCTCATCCTAACATACCACAAGTGAGAGTCTTAGTTGATGATGTTGCAGCACACCAGTTGTCACAAATTCTCTGGCTGCAACTGTGAGTCCTAGTTGCCATCGAACAAGTGACTGATCCAGTTCTAAAATCTCACATCCCATGGATCTGCCTTTTAAGGAACACTTCTGTTACCAACTGTCAGAAACACACCCTGAGACAAGGATTTGAGTCTGAGCAGTTTATTTGGGATGTAATCCCAAGATGTGAGTGCATGGTGAAGGAGTGGAAAAGTGTGACAGGAAAGGGGTAAAAGCAAATCAAGCATACATTAATGGCTGTGTGACCATGTGAGCAACAATCAGGACACAGTTCTATTGTGGACTCTCTGAGACACACTGTCAGACACCTCTGAATTGTCCCATGAGGATTGTGGAAGCTGTGAGGTTTATTCACAAAACATCTCTCATTGTTTAAGAGTTGTTTCCAGATGTATTAATTCCTTCTTGCTGCCAGCCTGCTCCATGAATGGGCCAAGCACACTCCTGTGAAGTAGAAAGCCGTTAGTGTCTATAGGAATTGTGACCAGTATGCAGAAGGTACCTTTGCATTTAATCTTTGCCTCAAGCTCTGTTTTCTAGGGAAACTGGGTACAGTAGATGCTGATGGCCCACCCTCCATCCCCTTGTCCCACCTGAGTTCACTGGCAGCTGCAGTAGACAATTTCCGTGCTCTGACAGATTTCTGCTTCAAGTGTTGTATCTCACTTCTCTTCCTGACAACTTTCTCCCGTACCAAGGAGAAATATTCTGAGGCGTGTTTCACATGACTTCTTAGAGAGTCCACAGGGGATGACCCCAGTAGCCCACAGTGGAGACTTGCTCATTAATATACTCTTTTTTGCACTTTCCAAAAAAACTAACTCCACCTAAATCCTTGTCTCTGTGTCTGCTTTTTGGGGAACCCAAATTAAGACAGTATGTAAGATTCTAAGATTATATGAAGTGCTTATAATATAAGGAGATTAGTTGTATGTAAGATTCTAAGATTATATGAAATGCTTATAATATAAGGAGATTAGTTCTATCTCCTAATCTTGATATACAGTAGTCTCCGCTTATCCGTTTTTTCACTTACCATGGTTTCAGTTGACCGCGGTCAACTCCTATCCAGAAAATGTTAAATGGAAAATTCCAGAAATAAACAATTCATAAGTTTTAAATTGCATGCCATTCTGATTAGCGTGGTGAAATCTCACACCTCCCTGCTCTGTCCCGCCTGGGACATGAATTGTCCCTTTGTCCGGTGTATCAATGTTGTATATGCTACCCGCCCGTTAGTAGCCATCTCTATTATCTGAGCAACTGTTGCGGTAATCACGGTGCTTGTGCTCAAGTAACCCTTACTTTACTTAATAATGGCCCCAAAGTGCAAGAGTAGTGATGCTGGCAATTCGGTTATACCAAAGAGAAGCCATAAAGTGCTTTCTTTCAGTGAAAAGGTAAAAGTCCTCAATAAGAAAAGAAAAAAATCATATGCTGAGGTTGCTAAGATCTACAGTAACTTTTATTACAGCGTATTGTTATAATTGCTCTATTTTATTATTAGTTGCTGTTAATCTCTTACTATGCCCAATTTATAAATTAAAATGTATCATGGGTATGTATGTATAGAAAAAAATGTCATCTATAGGGTTTCGTACTGTCCAGGGTTTCAGGCTGGGGGTCTTGGAACGTACACCCTCGGATAAGGGGAGGACTACTGTATTTGACTGATCCAGCCCTAATTAACTCAACCAACATAAAATAACAATGCAGCTTTTCTACAATTAGAAATATTGCAAAAGGTACAGCTTCTTGTAAAAATTTGCAAGTAAAATAACATGACTCTAACAAGTTAACTTTAAAATATAATACAAAATCTGTATTTACCAGTAAAGCAAAGAACAATGGCTTATTGAATAAAACGTATTGGGACAACCGGCGAGCCATTTGAAAAAACATGGTTGGATTACTATTTCGTTCCTTACAGCAAAATAAATTCCAGATTTAAGCATTAACACTGAAGCCAACATAATCCCAGAAAATAAAAAGGATTCTCTCAAAGTAATCTCAAAGAAAAATATAAAACTCAGTAAATATGAAAGAATTGATTGATAAATTTGACTAGAGTCAAATTTAACCTTTTTTTGTGTTTACAAAAGGCATATTCAAAAGAGAATAACTTGGAGCAGCTGCGTTTTGTTGTCATATGGACATGTACACTTAAAACATGTGACTCTTTCTCTGGTTTGTCTTCTAAAACCAAGTTTAATCAGATTGTCTTGGTTCATGCCTCCGTGTTTCTTTGGCTCCACTAGATGGCCTTTCTTTTTTCTATTCCTGGCATGTACATTGTTCGCCTCTCTCTTCATCTATTCCTAGAATTCATCAAAGGGATGACCACAAAGTGACAGGAGCACACAAGTGGAACACCTAACATTTCACAAGGGAATGCCTTTCCAAAGATTTGACGTTTAACCTCTATTGAGAGAAAAATAGGAGTTTTCTAGGGCAAGGGGTAGGGGAAGGTGGTAAATAGCATTTGGGGGATGGGAATTGCATGTACAGATGTACAGAGACAAGACACAGTCAAGTATATTCAAAACAGAAAATAGCCAGAGGATGCAAATTGTGCAAAGCATATTGGAAAATGATATCAAAAAGGTCATTTGATACAGTGTACAAAGAATGGCATTCAGAAGTTATTGGGCACATATATGGAGGATATCTGATTAGATATGTATTTTCAAGAAAAATTTCCAAAAACACTGAGAATAGACTGAGGATAAGACAATTTGGGAACAAAGACATTGGTGAAGGGCAAGTACCAAAGGGAGCATTATAATATGCATATTTTAAATATTCAAAGTTCAATTTTGAGCAAGAGCTGCAGCAGTTTCAAAAAGAGGACCAAAGTCTTAATTTTACTTATCCTAATTAATTTTCTGCAATTAGTAATATATTCAGATTAATTACTTCAATCAGATATTTATTGTGCATTAGGCACTGTTCTAGGTATTGGAATACAACAGTGAGCAAAACAGATAAAAGGAACGCTGCCCTCATGGAGATTATATTCTGGTATTCAAAGCAAATCCTCCAAGAGGATACCCATACTGCCAAACTAAGGTGAAGAGTTAGAGCAGACAAGCTTAGCCAGGAAGCACAGTAGGAACAGGGTCAGGAGATTTTATTAAACAAACAACAATTTGTTTACACTTTAACAAGAATTCATTTCTTCCTCTTTCCATTACCAAAACAGCATGGTACTGGCACAGAAACAGACACACAGATCCATGGAACAAAATTGAGAGCCCAGAAGTAAACCCACATGTTTATGGACAGCTAATATTCGACAAGGGAGCCAAGAGCATACAATGGAGAAAGGAGAGTCTCTTCAATAAATGGTGTTGGGAAACAGCCACATGCAAAAGAATGAAAGTAGACCATTCCCTTACACCATGCACAAAAATCAACTCCAAATGGATTAAAGACTTGAATGTAAGACCCGAAACCATGAGACTTCTAGAAGAAAACATAGGCAGTACGCTCTTTGACATCAGTCTGAGCAGCATATTTTCAAGTCCCATGTCTGACCGGGCAAGGGAAACAAAAGAAAAAATGAGCAAATGGGACTACATCAAACTAAAAACTTCTGCACAGCAAAGGAAACCATCAACAAAATGAAAAGACAACCTAACAATTGGGAGAAGATATTTGCAAACCACATATCAGATAAGGGGTTAATATCCAAAATATACAAAGAACTAATACAGCTCAACAACAAAAAAACCAACAATCCAATTAGAAAATGGGCAAAACATCTGAACAGAGATTTCTCCAAAGAAGATATACTGATGGCCAACAGGCATATGAAAAGATGCTCAACATCATTAGCTATCAGGGAAACGCAAATCAAAACTACAATGAGGTATCACCTCACTCTGGTCAGGATGGCTATAATTAACAAGACAGGAAACAACAAATGCTGGAGAGGGTGTGGAGAGAAGGGAACCCTTGTTCACTGCTGGTGGCAGTGCAAACTGGTGCAGCCACTATGGAAAGCAGTATGGAGTATCCTCAGAAAAGTAAGGATAGATCTACCATATGATCCAGCTATTCCACTGTTGGGTATTTATCCAAAGAACTAGAAAACACAAAGGCATAAAGATACTTGCACCCCTATGTTCCTTGCAGCATTATACACAATAGCCAAGACTTGGAAGCAACCTAGGTGCCCATCAAGGGATGAATGGATAAAGAAGATGTGGTATTTATACATGATGGACTACTACTCAGCCATAAGAAATGATGAAATCCAGCCATTTGTGACAACATGGATGGACCTTGAGTGTATTATGCTGAGTGAAATAAGTCAGAGGGAGAAAGTCAAATACCATATGATCTCACTCATAAGTAGAAGATAAAAATGACAAAAAAAACCCACATAGCATTGGAGATTGGACTGGTGGTTACCATTGGGGAAGAGGGGAGGGAAAAAGGGATGATTAGGGTCACATGTGAGGGGATGCACTATAATTAGTGTTCAGGTGGTGAACATGATGTAATGTATACAGAATTTGAAATATGATGTACATCCAAAAAAAATAAAAATTAAAAAAAAGAAATTGAAATTAGAATACAATACCATTTATAATAGCATCAATCAAATAACAAAAAAATATGAAATGCTTAGTGATAAATCTGTCAAAAGAGGTCCAAATGTGTTCATGGAAAACTACAAAACATATATGAGGTAAACTGTAAAACTAATGAAAGAAATCAAAGAAGAACTAAAAAATGCAGAGAGATTACAAGTTCATGGATAGGAAGACCACATCATCAAGAAGTCAGTTATTCCCAACTTGCTCTATAAATTCAATGAAATCCCAATCAAAGTCCCAGCAAGTTATTTTGTGGATTTCTACAAACTGTTTCTAAAGTTTATATGGAGAGGAAAAGACCGAAAATAGCCAAGACAATATTGAAGGAGAAGAACAAAGTTGGAAGACTAACACTAGCTGACTTCAAGACTTACTGTAGAGCTACAGTAATCAAAACTGCATGGTATGGGTGAAAGTATAGACAAACAGAACAATGGAACAAAATGGAGATCCCAGAAATAGACCCATATATTATAGTCAACTGTTCTTTGACAAAGGAGGAAAGGCAAAACAATGTAGCAAAGATAATCTTTTCAACAAATGGTCCTGGAACAATTGGATAGCCACATGCAAGAAAGTGAATCTAGATACAAATCTTATACTCTTCACAAAAATTAACTCAAAATGGATCACAAGACTTAAAAGTAAAGCACAAACCTATAAAAATCTTAGAAGATAACATAGAAAAAAACTTAGATGATCTTGGGTATGGTAATGGCTTTTTAAATATGACACCAAAGGTACAATCCATGAAAGAAATAATTGACAAGCTGACCTTCATTAAAATTAAAAACTACTGCTCTATGAAAGACCATATCAAGAGAATGAGAAAACAAACCACAGACATGGAGAAAATATTTGTGAAAGACACAACTGATAAAGGACTGTTATCCAAAATATACAAAGAACTCTTAAACTTGACAATAAGGAAACAAACAACTTCATTAAAACATGGGCCTAAGACCTTAACAAACACCTCACCAAAGAAGATATATGGATGGCAAACAAGTATATGAAAAGATGCTCAACATCATATGTCATTAGGGAAATGCAAATTAAAATAATGAGATACCATTACTTACCTATTAGAACAGCCAAAATCCAGAATATTGACAACACCAAATGCTGGTGAGGACATGGAGCAACAGGAAACAGGAACTCTCATTCACTGCTGGTGAGAATGCAAAATGGTACAGCCACTTTAGAAGACAGTTTGGTGGTTTCTTATAAAACTAAGTATACTCTTACCATATGATCCAGCAGTTGTGCCCTTTGGTATTTACCCAAAGGAGTTGAAAATTTATGTCCACACAAAAACCTGGATATGGATGTTTGCAGTAGCTTTATTCATAATTACCAAAACTTGGAAACAACCATGGCATCCTTCAGTAGGTGAATGGATAAACTATGGTACATTCAGATGATAAGATAGTATTCAGTGAGAAAAATAAATGGGCCATTGAGCCATGAAAAGACATGGAGGAATTTTAAATGCATATTACTAAGTGAAAGAAGCAAATCTGAAAAGGCTATTTACTATATGGTTCAACTATATGACATTCTGGAAAAGGCAAAACTATGGAGAGAGTAAAAAGATCAACGGTTGCCAGGGGTTGGGAGGGAGGGAGAGGCAGAGCATAGATGATTTTTAGGGCAGTGAAAATACTTTGTATAATACCGTAATGATGGATAAATATCATTATATATTTGTTCAAATCCATAGAATGTACAACATCAAGAGTAAACCATAATGTAAACTGTGGACTTTGGGTGATTATGATGTGCCAATATATGTTTTATCAATCATAGCAAATGTACCAGTCTGGTGGAGGATACTAATAGTGGGGGAGATAATGCATGTGTAGGGGCAGGAGATACATGAGAAATCTCTGCATATCCCCTTCAATTTTATTGTGAACTTAAAACTTTTCTTAAAATATAAAGTCTTAATTTAAAAAAACCTGAAAACATTTCTGACACAAATCAAAGAGTATCTAAATAAAAAAAAATTAAAAGTGGAGTTACAAACCAAAATTACAATAATACAAGTTTTTCTATTTGTCCGTGTATTTAGCTTTACCAGAGAACTTTCTACTTTTGTATGGCTTTCAGTCACTGTCTGTAGGGGCAAAGGCAAGCTAAATGCCACCAACTTTCTTACTCTTTTTGATGCAGTCCTTTCTTGGCTGTCCATTTGGCTGTATATTGTAGCTTCTTAATTGGTTTCTAGAGTTCTTGTAAAGGTATTTTGGTCCATATGGGTTGTTAACTCAGTATCTCCATAGGGGAACAAGGGCCTTGAGCGTCCTAGTCTGCCATCTTGCCGACATCTCTTAAAACTTTCTTCTGGGGTAATTATGCTGGCAATAAATTTGTTCAGTTTTCATTTGCTTGAGAAAAATCTTTATTTCTCCTTCAATTTTAAAATAAACTTTATATTTTGAAATAACTGTAGATTCGCATACAGTTGTAAGAAATAATAGAGATCCCATGTACTCCCTATGCTGCTTCCTCAAATAAAACCATCTCGCAACCCTTAGTATAATATAACCGCGATATGGATATTGAGACCGTCAACACAGAGAATATTCCCACCGCCACAGGATCTCTCACATTCCCCTTTTACAGCCAAGCCCACTCTTCCTCCCCTCCCACACCCACACCCACTCCTTAACCCCAGCCACCGCTAATCTGTTCTCCACTTCGATAATTTTGTAATATAAGGATGGAATCGTACAATATGGAAATTTTCAGGATTGGCCTTTTTCACTTAGCATAGTCTTTTGGAGATTCATCCAGGTTATTGAGTGCATTGTGAGTTCAATCTTTCTTATATCTGAATAGCATTTCGTGGTAGGAATGTACCACAGTGTGTTTAACCACTCACCCAGTGAAGGACACCGGGGTTGTTTCCAATTTGGGGATATTATAAATAAAGCTGCTGTACACATTCGTGCACATGATTTTATGTGAACACAAATCATTCTTCCAGGATAAATGGCCAGGCATAAAATTTATCAATTGTATATTAGTTACCTTTATAGTTTTCTTTTTTGAAAACTGCCAAAATATTTTCAAGAGTGATTGTACAATTTTACATTCCCACCATTAACGTATGAGTTACCCCATTTCTTCAAATTCTCATCACCATTTGGAGATGTCACAACTTCTCACTTTTAGCCAGACACTGGAGGAAGCTAGAAGAATTGAAAATTCACAGGGGCGTACTATAATTTTCTGTTTAAACATAAAATTTCTCTCCACAGTCATCCTGCTTTTGATCAAAGATAACCAAAGTAAGGTTATTCTTGTCTACAAAATAAGTCATCTCATTATATTTGGCCTGATTATTTATATAAGTGCAGCAAGAATGCTAATTGACCACAAAGGCCTTTTTGAGTTTGCTTTGCTGAGACTTTTTATAAAGAAACTCAGATTAGACTTTTAAAAGCCTCTCAAGGCTAAGAAGTCAAGTGAGAAACTCAGCACTAGACTTCACTTGTGGTAACTACAAATTTGGATGAATTCCTCTCTTCTCAATGTCCCCAAAAGGTCCCAAAGTTTCTGGGCATGCCAGGAAATAACCTTCCTCACTCACCTAGGAGACTGGAAACACTGGAAGCCAGGCGTCAGGTTGGTTTTTCCAAGAGGACATTGTAAGCAGTGGGTCCATAAAGTCAAATTTTGTTCCTTAAAGCTGCCTGGCCGTATCTGATTCTATACATCATTCTCAAATATGGCATTCCACATAAAGCCTTGGTGATATAACCAATGTTTTCAATTGTGTTGTGTTTCATGGAGAACAGATCCTTATTGAACTAATGCTAAATAACCATATTGCCAAAAAAGTAAAAACACTCAATAAGAGTTTCTGAATTCTGGAGTGATTACATAGGGAGAAAAAAATGTTTGTTTTTACGAAGGTATATTCTATTAAATTGTTGTGAGCTCTAGATGGTATGAGAGAAAAGAGAAAGTTGATTCTTATAAGCAGAAATGAGAATATTAAAGATTCAGAAAGTTTGAAGCAAAAGCTGTATAATTATATTTATTCTTCATTGGTTCACTCAGTGCCATATAATCGTTCTTGTTTTGCTTGATCTTTGGTTAGCAGCTTCATGAACGCATCAACTTCTTCACTAAAGTTCTGGAAATCCTCACTTTGCCCAGTAGCCTGGTCTAAAATTTATTTAAGGAAGGTTTTGATGATGCATTCTGGCCTGTGGTAGATTGCAAACATTTTCAGAGAAGAATCAGAGCAAACTAAAAATGCTCTATGGATGACAAAGGACTTCCAATGGCCATGGTTAAAGTTCTGATGAGAGTTCATTTCACAGGGAAATATGGTTATTTCTCTAACATACAAAATTTTAAGATAATAACTGGAATTATGACTCATATCATTATATCAGAACATATCATGAACAGTGAGGTCATTGACACATATCTATGAACGTCACACAATTTCTGAGATATTTATATTAATAATATTTACCCATACAAATATAACCTGGAGAAGAATAAGCATCTCTTATTTGACAATGCTTTACACACAATTCAACACATCAAATTGTTTTTAACATTTCTCTTTTTATAAGATGAAAGAAGAAGTCTTTTGAGTTTTTTTCAGGGACCCTCTTTCAGCATTTGAAAGAAGACAAGATAATATCAATAGCTCAGAAAAAGCATTTGACAAAATCCAACATCCATTCATGATTTTTAAAAAACACCTCTTAGCAAACTAGGAATACAGGGGAATTTCCTCAACTGGATAATGGATATCCACAAAAAACCTGTGCCTAATATCATACTTAATGATGAGAAACTAGAAGCTTTTCCACTAGGATCAGAAACAAAGCAACAATGTCCCCTCTCACTACTCCTTTTCAAAATCATGCTAGAAGACCAAGCTGGTGCAATAAGACAAGAAAAGGAAATAAAATGCATACAGATTGGGAAGGAGGAAATAAAACGGTCTTTATTCTCAAATGACATAATCATCCATGTAGAAAATGTGAAAGAGTCAACAAGGAAATTTATGGAACTAAGAAGCAATTTTAGTAAGGTTGCAGGATACAAGGTTAATATGCAAAGAAATCACATTCCTATCTACCAATAATGAACAAGTAGAATTTGAAATGAAAAACACAATACCATTTACATTAGCACCCCCTGAAACGAAATAGGTATAAACCTAAAAAGAATGTACAAATCTATATGAGGAAGAATACAAAGCTTGATGAAAGAAATCAAAGAAGAACTAAATAAGTGGAGAGAGATTCCATGTTCATGGCTAGGAAGACTCGATGTTATCAAGATGCCAGTTCTTCCCAACTTGATCTAGAGATTCAACAAAATCCCTCTGAGAAACCAGTGTTATTTTGTGGATATTGACAAACTGATTCTAAAGTTTATATGGACAGGGATAAGACCAAGAATATCCAACACAATATTGAAGGAGAAGAACAAGGTCAGAGGACTGACACTACCCAGCTTCAAGTCTTACTATAAAGCTACAGTAATCAAGACAGTGTGGTATTGACGGAAGAATAGACAAATAGATCAATGGAGTGGAATACAGAGCCCAGAAATAAACTGCCATAAATATAGCCAACTGATCATTGACAAAGGCACAAAGGCAATTTAACGGAGAAAATATAGACTTTTCAACAAATGGTACTGGAACAACGGGACATCTACATTTAAAAAAAAATGATTCTAGACACAGACCTTACACCTTTCACAAAAAATTAACTCAAAATGGATCCTAGACCTAAACGTAAAACACAAAACTACAGAATTCCTAGAAAGTGACATAGGAGAAAACCTAGATAGCCTTAGGTATGGCGATGACTGTTTAGATACAGCACCAAAGGCATGATGCACAAAAGTAATAATTGATAAGCTGGACTTCTTGAAAATTAAAAACTTCTGCTCTGTGAAATACACTGTTAAGAGAAAGAGAAGACAAGCCACAGATTGGGAGAAAATATTTGCAAAACACATATGTGATAAGGAACCGTTAAGCAAAATATACAAAGAACTCTTAAAATGCAACAATGAGAAAATGAATGGCTTGATTTAAAAATTGGCCAAAGACCTGAACAGATACCTCACCAGAGTAGACATGCAGATGGAAAATG